AGTACACTGTATCAACCTAATAAACTAAATTATAAATCTTTTAACATTAGATTTTTTTTTTTGGTTTGGTTTTGCAAATCTGAACACATAATATTGGACCACATTACAAAACTCTATTTTATTTGCTTTGCCTCAATTTCCAATTAAATGCAGCATCATCCAGCAGAAACCCACTGAATAACTGTTAGATGTATTAATCATTCATTTTATTGTAACTACGTATATGCATGGCAGTTCACAGCTTGATAATCACAACAGTTAAACTATTAATCCTTTATTTTTATTTGTCAGCCTGCTTTTTAAATTGTAGGCCTCACACAGAAGGCTGGACTTGTTTGTCACTTGTTTAAATGGCAGCTGGGACTTAAATAGAAAACCTCAGCTCTTGTATTGATGTGCAGTAAAATGAGCTGTGGACATTTGTGAACACCTTACAGATAATCCAAATGTCCCAACATTGACTTCACTTAGAAATGTTTGCACTGCAGGTCTGCTGATGCTAGTTCAAATTGATGCATAGATGCAGTATGCTGAAGGACCGGGGAAAACACATTTTTGATTGCCTCTTTGCTTTAGAGGAATTAGAAACTGGGGAGGGATTCAGACCATTCATGCCAGCCAAGCTGCAAGTCGGTCAGTTCCTGTCACCAGCTGATTGATTCCTGTGCCCCTACATTTGTCTGATTAAAAGTTCAAACCCCCCTCAAATTGTTTAGTACAGACATAAGCAAAAACATTTCTTTTGTTTTTGGTGGTGTAAGATAAATATATTCAAGCATATATGTATAAAATATATATTTTACTGCTTTCATTACATGTTATTTACTCTGTTTTTTTCTCCAGGAGAACATCGATCTCGCCTTAGAAGACTCTGAGTCCAGCTCTTCTCTGTCCGTTTCAGTTGTGGACCAAAGCTCGAGCCAAGCGCTGGTGAGTTCTGCCTTTAGCTTTACACTGCACCTATCATGCCCAAGCATGATTTATAAGCTACAATTTTTACTCATAATATTCGTTGGATACCCTTTATTGTTTATTAGGAATTACTCTAAATGCTATATAGTTTTGGCTGATGCTTGAAAAAGAGGATAGGAGYGAGGAAAGAAAGGTTAAAGAATTGACTTGAAGAAGGAAAATCAATGTTTGGCCTTTGCCGCCTGTGATCTGCACCATGGAAACAGAAATGGCAGAGTTTAAAGAATCATAGATCACGTTGCTATAACTCCAGTGTGTTTAGTTTTGAATGCTTGGCTTTTTAAAGGCTTTCTGCTCTGATAGGAACGCCATCAGGGAGGGAGGCAGGGAGGGAGCTGCAGTACATCACACATGTACACAAAAAAAGGAGGGAAATAAAGGCTACTTTAAAGTCGTTTTTAAAGTCCGCTCTGAAGATATGTTACTTAGAGTGAAAAGACATTTTGATCAAAGATTTTTCTAACCYGCAGATAAAWWTTTTCCCCGTCATACAGTAGCTCAGATGTCTGTTATCACAACCTTAATGTTCAATTCATCCCAGCCTCATAGTTGCCACATGCCTCCTTCAAACTGATGCACTGTGTATGTATTTGCAGTCAGTCTAGTGTGCACAGCTGATAAGGATGTCTCCAGTGTAACTTCCTGATAGCTAATAAAACAGTTTTTTTKATTTTTGTTGCATTAGTTTCTTAGTCAGGCTTTCTTGCAGCTATTGGACTGGATCTACCTTTATGTGAGTCCTTTGCTTTGAATTGGCTAAAAAAGGTAAAATGTATTAAAATGTATTTTGACCAAAATAGGTGATAATAAAAATGTAATTCTGGTGTTAGCTGAAAGTATATGCATAAAAACGAATAGTGCTTATATGGATGCACAATTCTCAGGAAGGCATGCACTTTGACAGTTGCTTAAAGGACTGCTGTGTCATGCATATAAAATAAAATGGGGTTTTGTTGAAATCATAATCTTGCACCATTTTCTAAAACTTTAACTTGTTCGGGCAGAAATAGGGATATTCCTGCTTGAAAAGTTTCAGGCTGCTATGTTTTGCAATTAATCCTAGATTTGTAAGTAAATATTGTAATCTGAAAATGACWTTCACATGAACCTCTATGACATGTTTGAGAAGGACGTTGCTCTTACTAGTGGCCTTGTTAAAACTCYAAAGAGCTATTAACAGCAGGTAAGACATTTATTGTTTCCCACAGAGCCTCCACTTTAAAACAATTTCTTTAATCTATAGTAAAGTRCTGGAGCAGGTTTTATTCCCGTCTTTTTGTTGATGATAATTATATTGGTAATTATATTATCTTTAATCCTCTCTCCCCTCTTCTACTCTGTGTACTAATGAACTTTTCTTTGTTGCGATTTTTAATATAAGGCAAAGCTGAATGGATGAGGCTATTATTGCGGCTGCTGCTGAAGGATGCAGGGACCATGAATGGTTTTTGAAACTTTAATTTGCAGTGCTGATCTTATTATCTGGCCTCAGCACTGACTCAAAAAAATGAAGTACTTTTGCTTTTACTTAAGAGCTTGACTCTGAATACCTTCATAGTAAGGTCATAGAGGTCATCAACTAGTTTTTCAAAAATATTTTCTATATATCCTTTTTGTACCCAGGAGGTAGATACATAATAAAGGCTTATACTTATTTCTGATGTATCTATGAATTCCCATTAAACAGCTAAAACTAGCAAAATGTCTCTGAGTCAAGGTGATTTATTATTCATGTATTGAAACAGGATTTTTTGTTGATTGTTGGTCAAGAAAAAAAAAACAATAAAAAGAAGAAGAATGACTGAAACACTTCATGCTCAGTGATGGATTTCTAAAAGCAATCTTGAACATATGTTTACATTATATGTCTGTTTTTTTTTTTCTGAAAGGTGCGCACAGTTCGAACAGAAGAGGCCCGAGGCCTGTTGTGGCTGMTGGAGGAGGAGGCGCTGCAGCCTGGGGGATCCGTGGAAACACTGCTGGGGCGACTCTTTAGCTACTACGGACCGGCTGAGGGCGAGAGTAAAGGTGACAGGAACAAGACTTCCACACTCTTGTAACAAGCGAACAAACAAAAGTCAGCGACTGAATTAGGCAGTGAGACAAAGGTTGCATTAAACAAGTAACATTAAAATGAAAATGCATTGCAGATTTGCTTAACATGTAAAATACCTGGAAACTAAAAAAAATCTACAGGAAATAAGTGGATGTGATCATCTTTTTTTTTTTACTAGTTTTGTTAGTTTCTTCTTTCTTCTTACTTAAATTTGAATAATATGGACCAAAAGTAATTAAACTATAACACTACAAATAGGCCAGTGTGATCAATAAATGACATCTGCTACAGTACATGCAAAATCCAAGTAGGAGTTTTGGCAATGCATAGGGGGAGTTTCTTGATGTGTGGGCGGAGTTTGTCCTAAACATGATTGGTTGAATTGACTTGTCTTGTGGGGCAAGTTAAAAGATAAAATATGGTAATGGTAAAATAATTGTGAACATGTTAATAAAATACATTGACTCTCTATAGTTTAAAACAGAACAATGTCTCCAAAAATATTGTTTGTAAACATAATGTGTTTGACTACAAATTTGGTTCAACTAGCACCTTCCTGTCTTGAGTTATGACTAAAATTAATATTTATGTGTAAAAATATAGGTGATTTTAACTGCCTAGCCTTCATGCAACTGAATCAACTGGCTTATTCAAACTCCACCCAAAATAGCTAATCCAGCCAGTCACATCTTTAACAAACTCTGACCACAAAAGTCTAACAGACCAATCGAAACTCCCACCTAGTACTGCAGAGACCCCCTTCTCGTAAAATCATGTATACCCATATGATTAATGCAGAATATGTTGGCAAATTAAGCAGTGATTGAATTGGTTAATTCATAATTTCTTTTTCAGGTCTCTCTTGAAAAAGWKATTTTAATCTAAATGAGATCTACCTGKTTAAATAAAGCTTAAATAAGTAGTACTTACTGTACTTATAGAATAGTCAAGTAGTACTTTGCTTTCATCTGATCGATGGTAGAGTTGGGTGCAACAGCCACTGGATAAAGTAGATTCTTGATGTTAACAGCTTTTGTTTGATTACATTTTGTATTCAAATATCTCTGTATTTATACAGTGACCATGGCATAAAACAGAATGTAGGTCTTCGTAGGACTGTGACAGATGCCACACACCAGAGTAATCACAAACTGATTCATTTGTTTGTTATGATGAACTTTATATGCAGATTGTAAAACAATCTTTAGTCATGTACGAAAAAAAAAGAAAAGAAAATACAGCAAGATTGGGGAGTCTAACTTTGACGCCTGTGTTCCCATCAGGTCACACATTTCTTTTGAGGAGYGAGAAAGAATACCACTTCCTGCTGGGCCACAGTCACGGGACGGACTGGGTGGAGTACGATGCCCGTGGGTGGCTGAACTACGCCAGACAGAATCCTGCTTCCGCCAACGCCGTGAGCCTCCTGCAGGAATCCCAGAAGTGAGTGTTCCTCCTGAGTCTCTCAATGGGAACATATAGCAGAAATAAAGCATTGCGTTAGAAGCTAATTCCAAAGCGTCATGCTGAAACATGGTGTCTCCTGCAGGAAAATCATCAGCTCATTGTTCATGAGCAGAGCAGGTGGATCTACGGTGTTGTCTGGTTCCATCGCTGGCCTTGAAGCTGCTTCCAGGATGTCCATGCGAAGGGCTACTAGCATGAGGAAAACCTTTATTACAGGGGTAGCTGCTATCAAGAAGAAGTCGTTGTGCATCCAGATAAAACTTCAAGTGGTGAGAAAAAGAGGGTGGAAAAAAAACATCCAGTCAAACCTGGATTTTAAAAAAAGGTGTTTGTCCAATATTAACTTGGTTAGCATATGGTGTATAAAGGGATAAAGCAATCCACAGTTGTAACCTTGCTTGTTCTGGAATCTACTTTAAGGCTTTGGCGCGTTCACAAATTGCATAATGCTGTTTTAAAGAAAAAAAGTGTGGAGATGAAGGCCAGTTGTTGAGCTGTAGCCAGAGAGAATGATGTATAACCTGTTTTTACAGAGAGAGGCTCTGCAGCTGCTTGTGCTTCCAACCCGTCAAACCCCAAAAGGGATCTTTATTTTTAGAGTTTATTTAAAATCGTACACATTTCTCAGCAAGTGAAAAATTGAAAACTGGGAGCCTAACAGTACATTAAGCTTTTACAGAATACAGTAACAAAAAACGTGTTTGTATAATGAGGATAATTGAACCTAATCTACTTCATGTTGCAGGATTATTATGTATTTGCTGAGTCTCTAAATGCTTCCTAATACCATTAAAAAGAAATAGTAGGTGTTAATTCCTTACCTTATACTTMATATTTTTTGCTGAGTATACATTTGAGAAAACACATTTCTATCTTTGTTTTCTTTTGGAAAGAAAAGGCCATTAGCTATATTTAAATACATCACAGGAAGAGAGTGCATTAACTTCAACCAGAGTTCCTAACCCTGCTTTTTTTTTCTCCAGGATGCCCTTCTTGAAATGTTGCGGAGGTCTAAGATTCACTTTGTTCACTGCATACTGCCTAAGGCAGATGCTCTGAGGGCTCTTAGTGGATCTCTGTTCAAAGCTGGGGAATCTGAGACTCAGGGGGAGCTCGGCGATCCTGGCCTAATGCAGCTAGATGTAGCCTTGCTTCGTGCTCAGATACGTGGATCCAAGCTGCTTGATGCTCTRCGGATCTACAGGCAAGGTGAAGGAGCTGCTTAAATCACACACTTACAGGTGTAAATATGCAGGCCTCCTTGTGTAGTGGGGGGAAAGAAAATTWWAAAAAAAGGACTCGGGTCTAGTTTTTCTGTYAGAAGTTCACTTTACAATGACAACAGCATTCCAGAAACAATTGCAGAACGTGTAATGATATCCAATTCTGACTTCCTGCAGGTTACCCTGATCACATGGTGTTTTCGGAGTTTCGACGACGCTTCGATGTGCTGGCCCCGCATCTCACCAAGAAGCATGGGAGGAATTACATTGTGAAGGATGAGAGGAGAGTAAGTCAGTCAGTGAGATTGGTGGGGGGGAGGGGTACAGCTGCACTGGTGGCCAAGAGCAGTGAAGATTGATGTTGTGCAGAGACAACTTCATTACATCTGCCCCTGATTTGTCAGCAGCCAGTGGACAGAGAAATAGACATTCATCAGAGCTATAGTAATGACCTAATCAACTTAACCTCATCGCCATCACGCTTGTGAAAAAAATAGAAGGGTTAGAATTGTGGCTGTGGATGTGTTTTACTGCAGACAAAGCTAGAAAAATTGAGATGCAGTTATGATCTTAAAGTCCTTAAACATTCCAGCACTTTCCGGAACTTGGACAGGTCCTTCAGCCCTTCACACTGTCTAAAGTCCTGAAACAGTTCAGCACTTTSCGGACCTTGGACAGTTCCTTCAGTCCTTGACACCGTCTATAGTCCTGAAAACATTTCAGCACTTTCAGGATCTTGGACAGYTCCTTCAGCCGTTTACACTGTCTAAAGCAGTGATTCCCAACCAGGGGTAGGCGAGCATACTAGAGGGGGTATGTGAAAAAATTTCCCAGGTGTGTTAAAAAAATAGGACTAAGTTATGTAGGGCCCTATGATTTTTGCAATGCAGAAATTGCAGACGCATTCACAGAATTAACACAAAATAGAATCCAGTATAAAACGTGGAATCTCACAGAATTTGCTCATTTGCGTGAGTTTCTGACATTTTTGGACAATATAATGTATTCTGTATGCTGCTTTTTCTGCACCTGCCATTACCTGGTTTATCCACTTTCAAGGCAACATTTTTATCTTTTTTTTAATTTGAGTAAAAAAAATACCTGAGAATTAAACGTTCTAGGGGGTTAAATAAATAATTTTCATTTAATAATCAGTTGTAGTGCATTATAGTTTTGGAGAATCGTTATCTTTGACTGAAGGGGTACTAGTGGTATGACAAAATGGCTCAGGGGGTACACAAGTCTAAAAAGGTTGGGAACCACTGTTATAGGTGATGTGAAGCAGCTTCTGAGTATTTGCTTTTAAAGCATTCACACCATTGAGATAGTTTTTTTTTTCTTCTGCGCATTTTTTTTGGCCCATTTCTTGCAATTTTTTGTGCAATTTCAACACTATGTATGAAAACATTCAGCTCCTTCAGAACATTTGGCTATGGCTTTTGGTATTTGAGAATTTTATACTTTTTCAGATATTTAGCTTTTTCTGCCATGTTCTTCTCATTGAAACTGAATGGAGCTGTCTTCTACATCCTTAAATCCTTCAGATGTTTACTTTACTTTTACTGTAGATTATTAAAAAAAGACGTGGACGTTCGTTCAGTCGTAAATCCATCTTGCTAATGTAAAGTCGGCTTCTGCTGTGATGATGACGATGATGAAGATGAGTGCGCAGCAGAGCAGCAGCTGATAAGTTCAGCAGGCAGAAGCTCATTGTTTGGCAGGCAGATATTAAAGCAAAAATGCTGGGTTTAATTAAAATTAGTTTTCTGCAAAAAGAGCTCTAAAAATTACATTATCTTAACTCTTTATGATAATTTTCTACCACGATATATACTGTTACCGTGAAGGGGTTCAATTTATACCGTGATATGGATTTGAGGTCATACCGCCCAGCCCTACTTTCTGCTAATTGTAGCTGTTTTCTGTTTTTAGCTATGGTATTTTTTGCTAAGTTTAACTTTTTTAAGCTACATTCACATATTTTTGTGCTAATTTCAGCATTTACTGCTTAATTAAGCAATCATGCTCTTTGTGTTTCTTTGTGCTAATATCAGCTATTTCTGGTACTTTTTAAAGGTGTTTTTGGGCTAGTTTCACTTTTTAAAGCTGTTTAGCAAAATCTTTCAGTGTTAAGCACTGCATTTTTGTAGAAAATGCAATTCTCTACCTTACTTTGGTTCCTACATATTTGTTTCGTCCATTTGGTTTTTACATTCACAGGTTAGAGGTTTTAACAATGAATGAGGGTGTTCTGTTGTGCAGGCCTTTGTTAAAATGCATAAAGTTGCTGACTTTACATAAGAGAATTGAGAGAGAGAATGTGTGTGTATAAAAAAGAATGGGGTTGAGGTAGAGTGTTGCTGTTTTTCTTGTATTGGGGCCGAGTTTCTGTGGAAACACTGGTGAACAAAAGCCCTTCAGTATTCACGGCGAACCTCTCCTGGTGTAATCTAGATGTAGTCTTTCAGGCTGGAGGCTGGAGTTGGAGAGAAAAGGCTGAGACAACACTACCACTGCAGTGTACACAGGGCAGGTGGATGGACAGGGGCTCTAAGACTGGGCTGATGGTGTACTTTCTGTATTGGATGTGTACACTTAGAGCTGCACCAGGGGCTCATGATGAATCCGCCAGGAGCAGGTGGATGCTGGGGGACAGGTTGTAATTGTTTTTTTTTAAATATATTTTCAGGAGAGTTTTTCTTCCTTAACCAAATTCAATAAAAAAGAAAAAAATGGGGGATGAAGGGAAAAAGGAAAACCACATTCTACCAATTTAAAACAAGTTAGCGAAATGGTGGGTATGTTGTCTGTAGTCAGCCTTAATGTTTGTGTGCTTGTCAGGCTGTGGAGGAGCTTCTGGAATCCTTGGATTTGGAGAAGAGCAGCTACCACATGGGTCTGAGCAGGGTGAGTAATCTCATTACATCCCAAAGACATAAAAAGCTTTAGTGTTACTAAATAAACCTTTACTTTGAATCACTGCCAATTTCTCTCCTCTTTAAAACCCAAACAACACTTCAGTGTTTTTTTATTTTATTTTTTATTTTAATGACACTTGCTGTCTGGGCAAGTGTGTCTTTCATTCCACCTTTCCTTCTTTTTAGGCTTGTTTGCCATTTGTTTTCATGGAGAGCTGCCAGGTCTYGTCTCTTCATCTTTTTAGTGAGCGGCTACCCAACGGGCATGTGGTCACTTTGTTGACAATGAGACAGAAATCCTCTCTTTCATTTTGGGCCATTAGTTTGTTTTTCACCGTGACTGTGTTTACGTCAGTCGCAGTAAAGGCTCGCTCAGAAGCTGGGGTCTAATTGGGTCTAATCCTGTGAGCTGGCAAGTCGCCATCAGCTAAGACTGAAGTCAAAGGAAACAAWACCATTAAAAACACAGGAAATAAATGCCTTCAATACATGTGCGAGAGCTTTTTAAAGCATGTGACACGTGGAGGGTTTGGAGCTGCGTCGCATGGCGCCACACTTTTGAGGGTGAAATCTACTCTGAAGCTCAGTTGGCCATTCACAAAGCATTCCTCTGGCGTCATAGCAACCTGTCTCACTTGCATGCCAATTACGCCGGGCCCCAAATAACCTTCCAGCAGTGGATTCAAAGCTCCGYGCAGGATAAAATCTGCCATCAGAGATAGCCACGAATAGAAAAAGGAAGGGRAAAAAAACGGCTTAGCCTCCCACATTTTACAAAGTACGGTGTGCATCTAATGATGATAAAAGGTAAACTGCTGCTCGAGCCCTTGAACCAAATTGAAAAGTAGTATTCCCTGGTGTAACTAAATGCATCATTCCTCTCTGAATGTCTGCAGCTTTTTTTTTTTTACTGAAGCTGCTCAGCCGTTTACAACCATTACTTAGTTAAGAGACCAAATATGGATTTATCTATAAAACAGTAGGAGCTGTGTCGAGAGACCTTGGATGCCTTGTTGCCATCATATTTATAGTGCATCTGTAGCACTTAATCCCTCTGAGAATTGATGTGATCTGCTTTCAATTGTCTCTTTACCTGTGTTTTACCTTTGCCCTTAAATTAGAAACAGACCTTTCTGATCGCCCAAGATGATAACTTAATCTCAGCTCTATCACTTAGCCGAGACTCTCTTATCTGTGGATTACACTGTTTCCTATCGATCTTCTTGCTTCACTGCATTATTTACTTTTAAACTCACTTCCATTTTAACTTTCCAGCTTTGCTTCACGTTATAGAAGGGGGTTTGATCTAAATTTGCCTTGTCTAAAGGAAGCATCAAATGATCTTCCTTTTTATAATGTTTCTTTTGCCTAATGTTTTTATGTTTCTTGCTCCAGTTGTTTTTCAGAGTTGGCACTTTGGCTAAGCTGGAAGAGCAGAGGGATGAGCAGACCAAACGTAATCTAACCCTGTTCCAAGCTGCCTGCAGAGGYTACCTCGCACGGCAGGCCTTTAAGAAGAGAAAGGTATGTTTGACATGATGCTGACCTAAACAGCTGGGCCTAAAKGAATGTCTGCTAATAATTTACGTTAAAATCGATTTGTTTAAATATCAAAAATTTTGTGTCTATTTTTCCTAATAAAACATATTTGTAATAAAGTAGTTTTTGAAGTAACTTGTAGTTAAATATAAAAATTTACTATGTGAAAAAAGTGAATATTATTGCATTTGCTGCATGTGATCAATGCCAAAGCCTGTCTTTTACATCTCGTTTTTAAATTAATTCTTGTTTCTCCAAAAGTTTTTGTGATTACTGTCCTAAGATGATTTCCAGTGTTTGATATTTTTCTGCTGCGAAGGTTGTAAAGCTTTTCCCCTCATCTGAAGATATAATTCCCAGTTCCAACCAAACAGCAAGTAAACTAGATGCCGCATAGCGGTAACATAATGACCCCCACACGCACAAATGCACCAGAACTCAGAAGTCTTTATTCCTGATAAATTTCATGCTACTAGATGCATCCCAAAAATGTAGTGGTTTGAGTGGGGGTCTCTTTTTTTTGGGGGGGGGGGGGGGGGCATGCAATTGGTTGACTTGATGGATAGCCCCTCATCAGAGCTAAACAACCAAAGAAATCTGAAGCTTCCATGTTGAACAGTTTGAGTTACAGTATAAGCAATTTTACATGTCCAGACACCCCCTCTTTGAAAGGAGCCCCCTCTTCAAATATGGGGTCTATCGTAAAACCGTTGGCTGGCACAGTGTAGGTCAGACTCAACTACAGTCCTGCCAAATTTCATGTTTATTGGTGTAGCCGTTTTTGTGCTACGGTTGTCCAAATATCACTGAAAACAAAACAAAACAAAAAAAGTACGGAAACAATATGACTCCCACTTACGCATTGCATGTGGGGGTCATAATAACAATGAAAAAGCTCAAAATGTTTAACTGTTGAACTACCTATTTTTAGCCATCATTTTAATGAGCTAATGTTTTGAAAAGGCCACTGATAGAAGACCAATATAATAATAACCACCGGTTGCTACTTTCAGTGTAGCTAAAGACACCTATTCCTCCTGCGTAAGTCAGCTCTAATAAAAAAAACTAAGAGCTGTGAGAAAATCCAAAGAAAACGCCCAGTGATTACAACTCTACTTGTAACTATAGGCTTTTATTTGTTGTAATTAGACAAAATTCTGCTCTGAGAACATTCTTAGTCTTGCCATGTTCTCAGTCAATAAACAAAAAACAAGTCTGTCTTACATTGTTATATTATAGACAAGTAATTCATGAATTATTTTATAAATTTAGAAAAATAAGGATRAAAACAAAATAGTTTTAGTATTCTTGGCTCTAGTCGGGGTCTTCTCAGAGGACCCTGACTGTCATGATAGTTTGCCACTAGATGAGTTTTTGAAGATGGCAACACTTTATCCTTAGGGTTTGTTTGGTCTCTTCTTGGGGTARATCTGAGCAGCTATGCTGCAGATCTTCCACTAATTACAAATAAGCCCTTTAAATCTATTGCTCACACCCCTCTGCCCCGCTGTGATCCATCCAATCATTTTGCCCAAGGCAGAGGAATGGCCATCCATCGGAGCGCGACCCAGCAATGCCCCCTTATCAAACTTGCTGCTGACTCACATACCCAACTGYTCCACCCCTCTTCCATTTTCTCTGTTAGCATACACAGCTCCATTTCTCTGGACCTAACACTTGTCCCTCTTGTGATGTATGGAGCCCCGCACTTCTCCATCTCTGTGATTACTATTTAAGTGAAAGTGCTGCCGGAGCTGACTTGTGATGAACCAGCAGAAACAGAATCAAAGTTACTGCTCTCCGTCAGCTATGACAAACTGTGAGGGAGTAAATGTCTTGTTCACTTGTACACGATACCAGTAAGTCTATTAAACTGTCATATTTGCAATAAGGTAAATCACTGTCTTATAAATAATAYTGAGCTTTCTGTTTTTTTGTCTTTCCACTTGCTTCTGTTTCTACTTTCAAATTCACATTTTAGTTTAAAAATGGGAACCAACGAATGCATTTCTATATTGGGTTCAAAGGTCATTGTTCACTCAGTACAGCAGGCTAAGAACCCAATGTTTTACAATGTGCTGGAACAAGGAAAAAAAAATCAAGAGCATGGAACCATTCAAAATTGCCAGGCAACAGGGCAATTACAAAATCCATTAGCAAAAAAAGAAACAAATTTTCCTCCTGCCCCCTCCTGCCCCCTATCTCCTGCTAATGTATCTGTAATAGAAAGATTAAACTTTATTTTATCTCAGCTCTATTGATCTGAAACTCAATTTAGGTTGGCAAGGTAACACGTTAAATGCAGCTGTAGTTGGTGTGACATCTTCTGCAAGATTTTTATTTATCCCCCCCCCCCCCCAAAGTCAGGATTTTATGAACCGTGTGCATCTCGGAGAATATAATTCAGCTGGTTTCTTAAAATTGAATTTTTTGAATCACGAGAAAAAGTTTAAGACGCAGACAGAGTCGTGTCTCAATAAAACGCCTAYGCCTTTTTTTAATTAAAACTTTTCATTCAATTTTGAGCAGTTTTATTAAACAAACTAGAACTAAAAAAAATCAAAATGACTTGTGGCAAGACTCTAATGAAGAGAGAGAAAAAAACCCTGTTTCTTAAGAGTCCCGGCACTGATTTTCTCTTAACATGCTGGACAGAACAAACAAGAACTACACACTGCAAACTAGAAMAAACCATACTCGCATGATTTCTGATGTAATTTACTTTACAGTAGCCACTAAAACCACATTTTGCATGTTACAGTCACCAAAACAAAATTATTTTGAATCTGCAGTCAATATTTAATTCAGTAAGGTCACCAACAGAATAAKGTGCATCATATAACCTTCAAATGCATCCTGCTGACCCATCATTCCACTGGCTCCATCATTTCCCTGAACCTGATGAGTTCAGCTGTCATGACACTTTTCCGAGTGAAGCCAATGAGGTCACGCACCAAATGAGAAAATGCCTAATTAATATCCCAACTCGCCATCAAGTGGTCAGGGATGTTCATTGCAACCTGTCAAAATGACGGATGACCTTCAGATTTTTCTGTCACCATTTGGTTAACTCTAATAATAAACTAATAAACTTCATCCACTGAATCTATGACGTCAATCAAGCCATGAAAAATCCTATGCTTGTTAAGCCCTTACTTTTATTTTGATGGATTTTTTGAGGAAGCACGGCTCTAACATTCCACCAAAACTTTGCACAGTATATATGTTGTGCAAGGATGTACTCATTTTTAGCTCACCTCCTTTATGTGGTGGTGAACTGCCAGCTTGTAGCTTTGAAACGGCATCCAGCGATGGGTAAACGGGGGAGATTAGCCCCGGACAACATCAACATCCACTGCAGTCCTCAGGACAATCGCAAAGGTGGTGAAGTTCACCTGGCCAAAAGTTAAATACAAAACTATAAAAAACACCAACAGAAAGTTGTTTTAACAGAGCTTGAAAGACTCTGGTTTCTTCCCCTTTTCAGACAGGTGGTGCATGGCTCTCCAGTTGTTCAAAATTGAAGCCAGCAGGATCCATGAGGGCTGCTGTCTTTTTTTTAAGCCAAAATTCCAGTTTGCCAGAAACAGAATCATGAATCAATGTGTGTTTCAGTTTACTGTCTGAAATAATAATTTTACACAGTGAGTTTCACCACTGACAGAATAGTAATAGTACTTTGTCTGTAAAACTTTGAAGCTGTCTGAGCCAAGACATGGTACTCATTAGTCTCACTAAATCTTGATGTTACGTAGTTATCCGCAATTTTTAAGTGTTGAAATAAAATTACAAAATAAGCTTTTGTTAGATAATAACTCATTACATTTACACAGATCGACCGTTGTGTGARAGCTATAATTGCTTCAAATTTAAAACAGCTTTTCCATCACATGTACAGTAGCTATATTGAGCCACAGTGAAACACTGAATAAATAGTGTATATATATTTATTATCATAATTCATATCACCCTTGAGTGAACCAGAATAGGATTTGTTGTGTTTCCCAGCAGAAACAACCTGTCCATCAGATTAAATTGTGAACATTTCAGTATATAACCATTCAGCAGAGCTTCTGCAATTAAGCAGAGACAGGAGAAARTAAGTTGGAGTAAGGTCCCTGCCTGGGTGAAGAAGAGAGGGAGGAGGCAGTGAATGTGATTGTCCTGCTTTGCTCTTTGATAWTTTAGCTGTTTTAGCTGTTAAACCAAATGATTTTGGGTAACATAAATCAAATCCTCAGTGTTTTATTTCATACTGGCTGTAACTTCTCCAACATTTSTTTGACAAGCCCATCAGACCTGATAAAAATAGAAGATAGTATTGTGAATGGCAGCATCATCTTTATATAACTGTATTGCAAAACTTCATTTTCCCCCCTCATGGATAACTTTCTCCCACCCCGTAAGTTGGATTTTCTCCAACTTTTCTAAATTAGTTTAAAGCTTTTGCAACACTTGGATGCAGTTCAGGGAATGCAAACTTTTCCAGATCCTAACTGTCTGATTCCAAAGTACTTCTTCACTTTAGGAATCCACTTAAATCTTAACATTTTTATAACATACAGTACATAGGTGGTTTAAGGCAGATAATTGAACAGACTCCAACTTTTTGGTTTTGTAGCTTGAAAATGTAGATTTTTTTAAATTTGTGTCGATAAAGTGCAGGTTAGCTCGATCATATTAGATGTGACTTTATTCTCAAATTGTCTGAGGAAGGATCTCTTTGTCTCTATGCCTACTTAGTTAGACAAGTGAAGCATGTAAATGTAGAACAAAAAGTAAGGAAATTTGTGTTTAGTAGGTTATTTCTTTGTTGTAACAATGCTTCTTGGCAATGAATCATATACTGTTGTAAAGCCTGTTAATTTCCCTTTTAAATGGTGCCACATTTGTATGGAACAGGCATTTATGGGATGAGCAGTATGGCACACAACAAATTTGCCGAATCTTCTCAGCCAAGCAGCTTATTTTGAGGTTGCTGTTTA